GTCCCCAAAGAAAGGGAGAGGATTAAAAAAATAATTGAAGATTAATGGCAGAAAGCTTCAGAGCCTGATGAAAACTATAAGCAGATTTAAGAAGCTTAACAAAATCCAAGCCCCAAAAACCCCAAAGAACACCCCATCAAGGCACATCAGAGCTGTATTAGTTTCTGAGGGCTGCTGTAACAAACTACCATGAACTGGGAGCTCACAATAACAGAAATTTATTATCTTGGAATTTAGGAGGCCACAAGTCCAAAACCAGGATGTTGCCAGGGCTGTGTTCTCTCTAAAGTCACCAAGGAAAAAATCCTTCCATGCCTCTTCACAGATTCTGGTGGTCGCCAACAACCCTTGGTGTTCCCTGGTGTGAAGCTACACACTCCTCTCTCTCTCCCACCTTCATGTGGTCTTATTTCTGTGTGTCTCTGTCTTCACATGACGTTCTCATGCGTGTACATGGGTGTATGTGTCCAAATTTCTCTCATTTCCTAAAGGCGCTAGTCATGGATCAGGACTTACCCTAACCCAGTGTAACAGCTTGATGTGATTGCCCCTGCAAAGACCCAATTTCCAAATAAGGCCACGTTCACAGGTACCAGAGGCTAGAACTTGGATGTATTATTTTGTGACAATACGATTACTTAAAACTGTTAAGAGAAAATCATAAAAGCAGCCAGAAGGGTGAAAAATATATTCCTTGTGTTCAAAGGAATAAAGATAAGGATAACAGCAGATTTTCCACTGGATACTATGGAAGCTTCGCCCCCCCAAGACATTGGAACAACATCTCCAAATTACTGAAAGAAAAAAGACAGAGTTGGAATTTTATATCCAACAAAAACATGTTTGATAAACTAAGGTGGGATAAAGACTTTCTGAGAGGTACCAAAGCAGAAAGAATCCATCACTAGAAAAACTATACCACAAGAAACGCATCCTCCAAATGGAAGGAGTGTGATGCAGATGGAAATGCAAATCATCAAAGGAAGGAAGAACACTAGAAATGTCAGCTCTCTGGATATATATAAGATTATTCTCTTATTATTTAAATGTAAAATAGTAAATTATAAAATGACTATTAAAAGCAAAAATAATAACAATTATAATGTGGAGTTTGTAATGAGGATAGAATCAAATGTATGATAAAAACAGCAGAATGACCAGGAGGAGAGAGATGGAATACACTATTTTCAGGAACTCACGGTACACGGTAAGTGAGGTGATGTCGATTGAAGTAGATACTAAGTTAAAGATGTAGCTGATAAACCTGAAAGTAACCAAGAAAATAACACAGCAAAGAGGTATTATATAAACCTGTGTAGAAGAGAATCATGAAATACATCATTACCCTAGAAGAAGAGAGGAAAACCCAGAGAGTGAACAGACACTGAGGAGGACAAGAAGAAAACAAAGAGCCATGGGAAGGTTCCAACAGCCTCCACCACCCAGTTAAGGTCAGGCACCGTCAGATTAGCTGCAAAGGCACAGCTCAACCACGTGCTGCCTACAGACTCACTTCAAATGTCAAGACAAGAGCTGGTTAAACGTTAAAAGACGGAAAATCATATATTTTGTAAGCACTAACCTAAAGAAAGCTGGAGTGCTGTATCAATATAAGAGAGGACTTCAGAACAAAGAATATTACTAGGGATGAAGAGGGTCATTTCATAACAGTTCCGTTCATGAAGAGGACATGAAATCTTAAACATTTATGTACCTGGTGACAGAATTTCCAAATACATGCAGCAACAACTAAAAAAAAAAAAAAACTATTATGAAGTAGACAATCCACAATTATAGTTGGAGAATTCAACATCTCTCTTCATAATTGATAAAGCGGACAGGGCATCAGTGAGGGCAGAAGGGTCGTGAATAACACCACTCACCAACTGGACTTGATTGGCACCTAGAGAACACTCTCCCTGACAACAGCACAAGGCGCATTTGTCTCAAGTACACACAAAACACTGACCCAAAGGGACTGTATTCTGGCCCGTGGAAAATGTCTCAGTAAATTAAAAAACTTCCAAGACATGTCTTTGATAAGGATGGAATTACATTCAAAACTGCTAACAGATCTCTGGAAAAATCTCCAAATATTTGGAAACTAAACAACAAATTCTTAACAACTCAGAAGTCAAAAGAACTCAAAGAGAAAAATTAAAAATATTTCCAACCAAGTGGAAATGAAAACACCAACATATCAAAACTTGCGGGATGCCACCAAGGCAATAAAGGGACAGGGATAGTGACAAACACCTGCGAGAGCTGGGACAGTAAGACTGGGGTGTGGGGAAGGCGCGGAGTCGGAGATGAGGAAGGAAAGCGTCTCTGCAGGTTACTGTGTTACTTACGTAGAAACTTTCATCAACCCATAAAGAAGAGGCTAGAATTAAGTGAGTTTAGCATGAAGGCACTCTACCAGGTCAACATACAAAACCAACTGTACTTGTATAAGCTAGCGATGAACAAGTAGAGATTGAAGTTCAAAAACAATATGACCATGACATTAAAATACGAAATACTTAGGGATATACTAATAAAAGATATGCAATACCTGGACATTGAAAACTGCAAAGTTTATTAAGGGAAATAAAATACATTTACTAAATTAAATTTACTTAATTGTGCTCATAGATTGGAAGATACAACATGAGTAAACTATAAATTCTGTTTTAATAGGTCTTATTATTACCTTGGTACATAAGGCCAACAGAGCAGGAGATGACTGCCATTGAAAAGACAGTTTGTTACTCACAGGTCCAGAGGAGGGGGTGTGCCATCCATGGGGCCACCAGAAAGCACTGGGGTCCATCAGGAGGCAGAAGGAGAAGGGGGCACTGTGTACAAGAGCTTTTCTTGTAGCTGGGCGTGGTGGTACATACCTGTAATTCAGTGGCTCAGGAGGCTAAGGCAGGAGGATTGCAAGTTCAAAGCCAGCCTCAGCAACTTAGCATAGCTTGAGCAACTTAACAAGACCCCATCTTTAAATAAAATATTAAAAGGGCTGGGGATGTGGCTCAGTGGTTAAGTGTCCTGAGTTCAATCCTCAATAACAACAACAATAACAAAAAAGAAAACAAACCTATCTTGCAGTTTCTGCAGGAAGGATTGAGTGAGTTGGGATAAGTAGGCTAAGCAGCTTTAGATTGTCTAGTGTGAATAATTTCAGTGGGCTCTGGGGCTCAGGGCTGGCCCAGGGTGATGAGGTCAGGTAGACAGTAGCCAAGAGCGTGAGAGCCCAGGGGAGTGGGTGGCTGGGATGTGAGCTCTGGGCTAGTTTGTTTTTCTTTGGAAACACCCTCAGGAGAAGGACTCCTCCAAGGAGCAGTGGGGTGAGGGGTCAAGGCACGGAGATGCAGGTGGGTGACTCGGTTGTCCAGAACCAGGTGTGTCCAGCACATGCATGTCGGGTAGGTGTTAAAGTGGCAAGTTCACAGAAGCTGGGACTTGGCGGACACAGAGATGCAGTCTGGGAGTGACGAGACACCTTCCGTCCTGTGATTCAGACTCCCTGGGCTGTGTGAGACAGACTTGGAACAAGACCCATCTCCCACCCCACTCTGACCAGTGGGCCCTGGTGACATGGCGGTTTCCCAAGACTAGCATCAGCATAGAGAATCCACAACAATTCTGAGAAGGCCTGGACAGGTTCATTTCTGGAATCATTTTGTAGAAGATCCCAGTTCCTTCTGCAAAATGCTGAGGAAAGATTCCCTGAATCTTGAATGTTTTGAGGTCCTTGCTCAAAGGGCCTGACCTCCTTATTACGTACTTTCTTGCTTTGTTCTGATCATGGTCATCGGTCTGCGGTCTGCTGCAGACTTCCATGGAACACATGCCTACATTGCCCTGGGACAGCAACTTCCTCCAAGGCCAGTCTCAGCTGCAATGTTCCAAGTTCTTTTGTTCCTCCCGTGACCAGACCCAGGATGTCGTAGGGCCCTGCACTCAATGCTCAGACTCCCTCTGGCTCTCCATTCCCTCCCTAAATGATCTCTACGGGCTCCCTGGCTTCACATGCCATTTCTAGGCTGATGACACTGAGATTTCTCGTTTTCAGATTCCTTCCAGGTTCTAGACCCGAATCACAAGCTTCCTTCCTCCCCGTCTCCACGAGGGTGCCAGGAAGTGCTTCAACTTGCGTGGCCTAAGCTGAGTGATTCATCGACTCCTCCTCACCCCACACCTGCTCTTCCACAACAGCACCACCCCCAATTCCATCACCTGAAGAAGTGCTTGAATCTCTACAGCAGCTACTCGAATCAATGAAGAGCCCGAGCCCGCGCCCTGAGAAGGTCCTCTAGGTCCAGGCGCCGCTGAGCTCTCGTTGGGACCCTCCTCCTGCACATCACCTGAGCCCACTGACCTTTCTTTCTTCAATCCTCCCTGGCCTGGGCCATTTGTACCCCCAGGCCCTTCTGTTTGGAAAGCTTTTCCTCCAAGCAGCTAAAGTGTGCACAGAAGAGGGTGCTGACAGTCACCGGTAGTCTGCCCCGTGAGTGCTCTTGGCCAGCTGCTGCCTGCAGGCCACCACAGGGCTCGGGACATTCTGCTCCCCAGCTCACTGCCCAGCAGAGACGGCCCTGAACCAACACCCAGGCCCAGCTCCCGACTCATTCCTCTCGTCTTCATGACTTCGCTCAGGACCTGAAATCCACTTACTGATCCACTTGTTTACATGTTCACAGCCTGTGGCCCCAACTCCTTGTCCAGACAGAAGGTTCTGCAAGGCGGGGACTGAGGTGTCTGCTCTCCAGCTCTAGTATCCCTGGCGTGATGGATGTGACAGGCACCTGAGAAGCAGCTATTGCTACTGCAGTTGCAAGGAGCTGGAGGTGGGCACGTTTTCCAAAAATTTCAATCATAATATTTTCCATTTGGGGGAAAATGATTATGAGGCGTCTTATCTCAGAGCTCTCTTACAGCTTGTTAATCCATTTCGAAGTGCTTACAAATATCCTCCTAAACAGGGGAAAGATGGAGGAGGCACAGGCAGTTGGTGTCGGTGAACTTGTAGATTTTTATTAGAACAGGCGTTTCTCATAGCTGTAAGCAAAGCATTAAGCTCATCAAGCTAACGCACATCTTTCTCTGCACAAAGACAGCTGAGGAGTGAGAGAAGGCCTCCTGTACATGTCTTGGTTCTGCAGAGGAAAGCATTTCAGGAGTGAGCTATTGAGGCTGTAAATGTTTGCAAACTGTAAGGCACTGGGGGACAGGAGGGCGTGTGAGGAGTCACAGACACAGATCAAGGATTCCCAGCTCCCTGAGCCCTGTCCAGCTATCTCCCAGCTTCACCCCTTGTCTCCCATGGCAGGTGCTCAGAAAGGGTGGACACAGGGTCTGAGGGTGTTCATCATCTCCACTGAGATCCCAAACGACCCAGAAAATCTCACAGATAACTTACTTCCACCCTAACTTCCTGGACAAATTATGTTTTATCAACTTGCCATTTCACATCCTGTGAATTAAACCTTAATTAAAAACTGGATTGGGGTACAATGCTTTTGCACTACGCTACGTGCACTTCAGAAAGCCACTAATGTGAATCACAGAGGCATGACCCCATTCAGTGAAGGGATTTTTGTTGGAACCCCTGGGATCCACCAGGAAGGGAGAAATCACTTGTTAATACCCAATGGACAGGAAACGCCGGTGCCCCCAAGGCCACAGTAGCCATTTGGGTTCTTGCTTAGGTACTGCTGGTGGTAGTCTTCCGCATAGTAGAAAGTCTGTCCCTCCCGGATGTCAGTGGTGATCTGGTTGAAGCCATGCTTTGAAAGAACCTGTGGGGGGAGAGAGAGAGAGAGAGAGAGAGAGAGAGAGAGAGACCTCAGGACAATGCGGGGCACTGGGCTTCCTGGAAGAGGAGGGCTGAGGTGCGGCAGGAAGTGGCTGGGGGCGAGGTCATGCTCTGGCAGGGCCGTTCCCAGATGGATGACTCTGGGTGGACACGTACCCTGTTCTACCTCAGAGGACTGGAATTTGAAATCAGGTGGAAATTAGGTTTTTTGACTTTGGGATTTATGCTCTACCCCTGCCCCATTGCTGCCCCTCTGCTCTCAGCCCAGGGACAGGCTCCACACACCCTCAGACAGTGGCACAGAATGTCTCCACTCTGCAGTTCCCGGGAGCAGGACCCCTGCTCAGGTGCCCTGGGAGCCCAGTACCTGTGGGGTCTGTTCTCTGAGCTCCAGGCCAGGAGGGCAGGGGAGTCAGATCAGGGGAGGACATGGCCCGAGGGCCTGTGTCAGCCATCGCTGCCCTCTGTGACCCAGTTTAAGTCTCAGTGGCATCTGCTACTAGGGAAGGAAACCTGTCACTACAGTTGAGGGGAAAGAACAGAGTTATTTGGGGCAGGAGACGGATTAGGAAATACTCCTCACAGACTCCAGCCTTACTTTTCCTTTTGGATTTCAGCTGCGCCCTGATTCTTCCTGGTTGCAGGGGGTGTCTGAGCATAAGGCTTCAGAGACTCAACCCCAGGTACTGACTCCATTGGCACAGAGCTGCCAAGTCAAGCTAGGGACCTGTGCTTTCACGAGGCGCTGACCATCTGAGTTGAAATCCTCAAACCCGCCCGCACAGGGAACCCAATGTCGGTAGGCACCATGTCGGGAGGCTTCAGGCTTCTCCTGAGAACCCAGCCTTTCTCCAGAATCTCCGCTCAGCCCTCTGAGCCGGAATGAGGCAGACTCATGATCCCACAGCCACGCAGGCCATTTAGTAGCACGGAACAGGTCCTTGCCAAGGCTGGCTATTGGACCAGACAGTCCAGCAACATCCAGCGTTCTTGCAGGGGCTAGAGATGAGAATAAGGAGCAGTCTAATGTCAGTTTTTACTACTTATTTTTTTTTGGTAAACTAGCCATTATTGAGGGTTTCCCAGATGTGGTGCCCTGTGCAAAGAATTCACACATGTTAATTTTAGCTTTACAACAGCCCTAGGAATGAAGTCCTATTATTGCCTCCTGTATTTAACAGTGCATGTCAGATATTGTGCCTTGAATCCTTGACGCCCTCAGTGTGGACTGGGACTGCAGAGGTGGAGCTTGGGGACCACATTTCTCCAATTCTACCTATAGCAATGGCCCACTTTTGATTCCACCAGTTAGAGGAACCCACATGGAATCTCCTCAACACGAGGAGAGACCATTACTTGCAAAGTGCCACAGTGAGGATGGTGACGGCTATGTGTGGAGCACACACCTGCGACTCTGCCAGCTCTCCTGCTTCCCTCCATTCCCAGGCTGCAGGCCATTCAAGTCATTGGGCAATGAGTTCTGGAGATTTCTGTAAACTCTTGGCATCTTGAAATCTAAAGATGTTTTTCTGGACCTTCACTTGCAATGATTCTGTAAACACCAAATCCCCTACACCAAATCCATCCTGCTTGAACTAACTGAACGTTTTCTGTTTCCATGACTGAATCCTGGCTAATGGCATTCGGTGCCAGATTGTTTTCAGGAAACAGAACCCCAGGAGGATGAGACCTGAGAGTGGTGGACTGGCAGGTTAGATCCGTAGTCAGGAGTGACCTCCCTGTGAGTGGTAACCAGCACAGGCCCCCACAGTGGCCACTAACAGTTGCCTGTGAAGGAAAGCCTTTCGGACTCGGTGGCTGTGAATGGAATTTTCTGGGGAATATGACGGGCAGGAGAACTGTGGGGAGTGTTTGCTGCATCAGGTAGCAGAGAGCTTGAAAAGAAAAAGCCAAGTTCAGGACTCAACACGGGTGGCCCAAGGCGGGTAAAGAGAAGAGAACTCCTATGATGGTTTAAAATAATCTCTCTGCAGCCGTAACCAGATACCAATAAGAGATTCCATCTTAAGGACTCAAGGTTTCTGGCAAGTGGAGTTCTCCTGGGGTCTTCAGACCAGAAGTGAGGGTGCTGGTTCCCCTGACTCGGCTGGTTCACCTCCTGCCCTGTGCTGTCACACACCGGACCCCGTCTGAAGGGTCCTCCGACCGCCCCTTCCTGGTCTCCACCCTCAGCCCAGGTGGGCCCAGGTGTCTGGCCGCAGCCCCCAGGGATCTACTCAGGCTGAGGCCTCTGGGCCGGCTGCTCTTCCAGGACCTCGGGGCAGGCAGGACCCAGGGCGGCGGCCCGGCCAGGCCTCAGGGCTCGGAAGGCGGGCTGCAGGGAGGCCCGCACCCGCGGCTGCAGTTCCAGCGCACGGCCGCAGGGTGGCAGGCGCTGCGCTCGGATCCCGGAGCCGCCCCAAGCCAGGAGCGGCCCGGGAGGACCTGTCCGCCAGGCAGCCCGGGTGGGCCCAGCCGCACCCCTGCTCCGCCTCTCCCAGGACTCTTCCCCACCCCCTTCTCCCTCTTACCCCAAAACAATGGTCTGCAGGCTTTTGCTTTCCATGGATCTTTTGGGCTGTCAACACACGGGAACGCGACAAGCACACCCACAACACTTAGGTCCTCCTGGCTCTTGGTATCTAGAGCCTCGGGTTGAGATGCTGCTCCTCTAAAGAACGGCCGAAGCACTCGGCGGGAGACTCGCTCCCACCCGCGCTCCGCTGGTTCCTATTCCCCACCTCAGCTGATCCCACAGACACCTTAAGAGGGCGGAACTCGAACCCAGAACTCCCCCAACAGCAAGAGAGCGGACTGTCTCCCACCCCCTCCCAGGGCTACTGGCCTTCCAAACACTGGATTCCCCAAGACTTCCCAAACATCTCCTGAGCCCAGCAGAGGCCAGAAGACCAGCTAGAGCCGCAGGAGGGCAGAGTTGACAGCAAAGGTGCTGGGCTCAGGGGTTTGCAGGGCCCTGGCATGGCCCCTGGCGTGGCGGATGCCAGATGCAGGCTCCTTTCCTTTCATTTTCCCATTTCATTGTGCTAGCAATCCTGTGGGGGCAGGGTCACTCTTCTGACTCTACCCAGGAAGAAACAAAAGCAGTTAAGAACCTTGGTCAAGTTCACGTGCTAAGAGTCAGTGGTGGGTTGGGATAAGGATCCAGGCTGTGGGGCTCTGGATTCCATGCTCCTTCTCACACACAGGCCATCCCTAAAATGGGGCTGGGAGGGGAGTAATGAGCATGCCAGAGGGGAGATGGTGGATTTGAATCCACAGCAAAGTTGTGCTGGAATTCTGTGGAGTGGGCACTGGGAGCAAGGCCAGGGTGCTGGCTCTGAGACGTCCATGTGCCACATGCATGTGTGGGGGACAGAGGGCATGTACATGCATACCACACAGGAGTGCACCACGGGCACGTGCATCAGTGCTCATGAGGATGTGTGTGAAACACACTCAACCTCACCGTGGCCTGACTACACATACCTTTCACTTTTCAGAAGTGAAATCATGTATCAGGATGAAGAAATTTGAACACACATTAGTGGTGCTTAACACCTAGGTGTTTGACACACAACTAAACCAGTCAGGGTCACTCCAGGTGAACTGGGCTGGCACAAAATAATCACACAAAGACAGAGACATACCTTTTTCTTGGGGTTCTGTGACAGCTCCTCTGACCCAGGTCCCACAGAGGAGGCAAGGTGGGTGAGAAAGAGGAGGGAGCACGCCTTGAACCCAGTTTTATTGGGGAGAAGCCATTCAAATGAGGCAAGGGATAGGATTACAAAGGAACAGTTGTAACTCAACCCCACAAGGTGACGCCTACTCCTGGAGCCTCGCCTCATTACCCGAGTGGAGGCCCGAGTTATTGTGGGTCACAATAATTGTTCAGTATCTCTTGCTCAGGACTTAAGGGAGTGTCCAGAGTGGCTCCGACACCTGGTGAGAATCCAGTGAACACTGCGCATGCTCCTCCCATAGGAAGGTCACAATCAAACATTTGCTTATCATTTCAAAGGACTCTGTGAACCTCTGGAGTCCTCCACAGTCCAGGATCCAGAGCCTTAGACAGGGCTGCCAAGTTTGAAGACATCATGGCCACTGCCCATTCCCCAGCAACCACCACTCCCAGGGCATATCCCATCAGCAGTGACCACCTACAAGGCAGATGACCCTGATCACAGTTAGAAGGCCCTTTAGCAAGGAGAGGTGGCTGTGCTTGCTACAGGGAAAGACGCCGGGAAAGAAAGAACAGTTCACACCTTTGCAGACTATTTTTGAAAGCCTCATGAAGTCTAATTCAAGCAAATCCCATCTCCTTTACCCACCCAAAGAATTCAGGCTCAAGTGTTAGGTTTATGTGTTATTATTTGTAAAATATATCTGTATATTTCATTTTATTTTGTGATAATTTTTAGAGCACTCCAATTGTTAGAAGTTATTTTCCTAGAAGTTTAGTTTATGATAATGAGCCCATAAGAAACTGGGGTTTGATTCAAAGAGTTCAGTCTGAAACCGTCTGGGAGCCAGCCAGCTCTGTTTTACAGGACAGGACACAGGGACGCAGAGCCACTCCACAGTCAGCCCCTCGTGCCAGCAGGGAGCTCCTACCTGGCACGTCTTGTTGGCTTCTACCTTGCCCTTCTGAACTGAGACACCACCTTAGTACCTTTAGGTCTGATCCTACCAAATTTCACGCTGCACCTCTGCCCAGAGCACACACCAACATGGCGCCACATGTTACAAACGCCCCATGGAGGCTTAGTAAGCTCAGCCGGTATCGATGCCTAGTCAGCAATGTTGCTCCATGACACTTCCGGCTGGCCAGATGGCCATCCATCAAAATTTCTGTGACAGGATATGAAATGTCTGGCATGACTTTTAAATAAAACCACTAGAAAGGAAAACGCCATCCATGCGGAGCTGAGCAGAGGCTTCTGCTGTCTGGTTTGGTGTGGCGAGGGCAGGAGCAGCCTCCAG